GCAGCTGAATCCGTGACGAAATCCAGTTTGTTCTACAGGTTGGGCTTCATCCAGTGTCCTTGATATGCGGGCGAGAATAATCTTCGTAAAGAGCTTGTAAAGCGTACTCAGCAGGCATATTGAACGGTGGTTCCGAAGATCCTCCCTATCGCCCTTTTCATGAAGAGGGATCGTTCGGGGAGTTCCCGACTGGTCAGGGATCCTTTCCTTTAGGACGTTTGATATTCCGCAAGTTTCTCGTGTAGGCGATGTCCTCCAGCTCGTAAGAGTTCGACTGAAGCATGGTCCAGTCCCGGAGCCAGAGCCGTGGCAGCCTCCATGGTCTGGATTGCGGCGCGTACTTCAGCAAGTAGGATCCGTGGTGGTATCTCCCCAGTGAGAATAACGGGGTTTGACGGGTGTTGACGAGCGAAAGAGATTAGTGTAGAATCTCTTCGTGATCGATTCTATCTTTTCGGGAAGATGTGCGAGTCCCTCGTTTAGTAATGTTGTCAGCGGAACACGATAGTCGAAACGTCCCAGACTTCTCCTTCCTTGTGCTGCTTCTAAAAGTTTCGGTTTTCTGTAGTTTCGAAGATCTTCTTACAAAGCTGTTCTGCAGCTGGTATTGGCTACCAGTCGCTCGAGATTCGATGAAGTCAGATCCAGCCTCAGTGCTCTTCTCCTCTCTAACGGATCCTGACTCTCGCAACTCGTTTCAAGTTCCTTGTGCGAGGCATTGAGGCATTTTCACCACAGGCTATCAGTCCTTTAAAAAGCGTTTAGTCTTTCGTCGGCTCCTTGATGGGCCAGTCACAAGAGGTCAGGACTCATCCAATCTGATGCCGTCATATACGACTTCTATCTCTCCTCCAAGACGGTGGCAGACCTTCTTTTCCAGCTTTCGGCTAAAACGCACTTTTTCTGAAGAAGACGGTGATCTGAGCCACTACTGAAGGATCGTACCAATGAGACGTCCAGTAAGCACCACCTTTGGTTGGTGAGAATGTGATCTATGTCCGCATGAGTCCCATGTCCAGCAGGTGTTCTTCTTTTATGAAGATGGAGTGGCCATGAAAGTCACGCAACGGATAAGAGCACAACAAGACTGTTACCATTCTTCGGAGTCCTGATCCAAATCTCCCGATCCTGTGCTCCTCTTCTTCTGGCATCCCGATTTTCGCATTAAGTCACCCACGACGAACTTATAGAAGCAGTTTTCTTTGCGGATGACTTCTTCCAAATCATAAAAAGCATAAAGTTTGGATTCATCAGCTGCTGATGTTGGAGAACAGCAGTTGATAATAGTGATGGTTTTCTGATGCAGAGGACAGAGTCGAAGGATAGCCAGGCAAAGTGATAGGATCTCATGCAAATCGATAAGATGGACAGCAGATAGGTGTGCACAAATCCAACGCTTCACGTTCCCGGATATAATCTTTTCACCACGAATGATGATCTGCCATCACTCAGATGCCTCACGTCCGTCTTCCTGGACTTTGTTTCTTGCAAGGCGATTACGTGATAGTTGATGCGCCCTGCAGCTTCGAGAAGGACGTGAAGATTGGCGTTGGTGGAGGCTCTCCTGGCGTTGTGGTGCAGAGCATGAGACAATCTCCACGGCGAGTCGTCGATGTGTCCTTTAGGTCCAAAATTCGTGGCATTGACACTGGTCTTGATGACGTCCGACGCCGTAGATGTGATCCAGTGTACAGGGCTTCTTTTTCTCTTACATGCTGTACAGACAGTAAAGGACTTCTCCCCAAATATTAGCAGAGCCTTGCCAGGCCCCTGCCAAGCTTCCTTCCACAAGCAATTGTTGACCTTATGTGGATTAGGAAGCCACTTAGCGACTGAATCAGCCAGATGGTAGTGCTTTTGGCTTTGAACGTTTAATTAAATGATTTGGGATTTTTTGCGTGCGGGTGCCAGATCATTCGATCAAACGTTCAAATTCGCACGACAAATATTCGAGAATACCGATTCTTAATTATTCGATTATTCGATCATAAATCTTTAATTTTTGAACTATTCGACTTGAATATTCGACCGTTCGTCGAATACTTGAATATTCGGACAAACCCGATATTCGAGTATTCGTACATAATATTTGGTGTATGTAGTACGAAAAATCTGAACTCCCAATATTGCAGTTGTCGCTGTGGAATCTGGAACTTCCTAAAAGGGAATTCGGTCCTCATAACTCATTTCTGTTGCAATAAGCTGCATTTCAATCGAGCTAGAGTGGCTACAGTCTTGTTACAAGCTCATTAGTAATGTGTAAAAGCTCCGACACATAACCATGGTGTCGAATTCATTCAGCTGTTATAGGCTTTAGCAAGGTTCCGATGGGGATAATTTTAGATGGTCTCTTCTAAAAGACTAAAAGACACAGAGCTGTTTTGACATAGCCAGAGGTTGGGCGCCTTTGGAAAATGACCTATGTCATATTTCAAATTCCAAAGACCACAAAATATATAGGTTTTTGGTGGCAACAAGTGTCATGCTCACATAGTGGAGCTTATGCGAAGAAATTGTGTATCCAATAGCTCAGGTGTTGCTCTTTCTTTCTTTCTTTCGCTTTTTAACTCACGCTGGATGCTAAGTTGTTAAGGTGAGCTTAGAGAAGTTGTGAACTACATTGTTGTAAAACGTGATCCTAAGATGGATCATTTCTTTTCTACTCCTGACCTATGACTTCCTGGCTGTATATAACCGAGTTTTAAATAAAAAGTTAATATGAAAAATAAGTTTTGTTTAGAAAGTGCGATAAAAATATTCGATTTATTCGACAACTCGAATATTCGAGATTCTTAAATTTCGATTCATTCGAATACTCGAACATTCGAAAATACTGGTTTTCGAATAATTCGAAAGTCTAAATTTTTGCAAATTTCAATTTTCGCACTTGAAATATCATAGTGGAAAATCAGAAAACCGAATAATCGGAATTTTCGATTTGAATCATTCGATTATTCGGAGTTTTTTCTAGCATTCCTAATGTATACAGTCTAGGTTTCCGCAAAGTAGGCTTAGATGAGACATTTTCTAAGGGAATGCTTTTTACTCGATGTGGCCCTTTAAGACAAGATATAGTCCATAATAACGAGGTATGGAAAACTCAAAGGTGTCTTTCATATCTGCGAAACGGTTTTCTGGAAGAAGATATGGGCACTTGTTTCCATGAGGCCACCTGCAATAAGGTGTACTTGCGCAATCAGTCTAGGTGCTAGGATGGCGCAGTGGTAAGAGTCTCGGTTTGCAGGTGCGCAATGCAGGTTTAGATCCTGTAGCCGGTGAGCGTGTTGCGTTTTTTTGCCATTACCTGTTTTTGCTAGAAAAAGCTTTATTAACTTGTTTTATTGTCCAAAGTCAAACTAAACCAATGATTAGATGTTATGAAATTTACACCATGAACATATGTGATAGTCGTCTACAAAGAGATCATAAAAACTGCTCACAGTCAGCGCATTGAAGGAGATGTCCTTCGTCGCAATAGTTTGCACTGCAACATCCTATGAGATCAGGAGGAAAGCAAAATTGAGCAGTAGTTTGGAAAGGGAAATGCTCGTATCATGATATAAATATTCATGACTATTATAGTCAAATTAAGTGTT